CCCCCAACAGATATCTACCCAAAGCCGAAACCCCCCTTTCACCCGCAGCCTGGAAACCCCGACAGCGGCGGAAGTGAGTTCTCAGCGTTCACACTCATTTCAACACGGGCGCGATGGGGTTTGCCTTTTATTCACTAGGACTTTCTGTCGGCTGCTTCTGAAATAAATCGGCGGTTCATTTTCCCCATTGCTGGGACGCCTGGATGCTGTGTGTTATTGCAATAGATTTCTCATTTAGGCCAGAGGACACGTTTTCTGTAGCTCATTTGCACGGCTCCAAATAACTGGCTTTTCCGTGGAANAGCGTTGGAAAAAGAACTTAAAGGTACTGGTGCCGATGAGGTGTCTCAGAACCACACGCCTCACAACGTCCTAAATTTGTGTGGGATTCCTGCAATTTGAAGGCAGCCCGGGTCCCCTAGATCACTATGAATATTCTACGATGCTCCTCAGCCCTGGTTAGAGGGTTTCCCATAATTGACGGAGACTAATGCCCCCTACACGTTTTCCAAATATGCGTTTCAGTGCGAGTTTAAAACTTTTGTTTCAAAAGTTGGTGTTTACAGAACCTACACACACACATTCACACATATAAATACATATGTATACACACCCATAGATGGAATTTAAGCATTTTCCTAGACAAAGCCATCTGTTCTCTGCAGCTGTCATCAGTAACATTTTATCATTTAAAATAAATGTAAAAGAAGATTGGCTTTGGTTCTCGTGTTCTCCTTTCTAGATTTCGCGCATAAAACTGTGACACGGCAGTGGATGGGTGTAACAGTGTGAGGGTCCATCGTTTGGCAGCTCGGTTCTGTGTCATTTGGGCTGTGTCACTGCGGGCACGCGTTGTCGCTGAGATGGCCTCCGCTCGCTTGGTCCCAACACACAGCAGATGGTCTGAGAATGCAAGGGACTTCTTGTATTTTCCAAAGGAGAAGAAATATAACTTTTTTTCCCTCAGTGCCACATGGGACAAGATGGATTAGGACCGAAAGGGATAAATATAGACAGAGAATGATGGGATAATAATTCACCCAGAGAGGAAAGAATGTTCAATGGTCACTCTGGTTGAAATAAACATACTTAGATGACGATCCCTTGGGAATATCTTTTTGGGGACTGACCAAAGCCAGCCGGAGGCCGTTCTCATGCCGACGAAGAGGAGAAAANAAATTCCTATGGTGGAGCCCTGGCCCCCAGGACCACCTCAGAATGGGGCTGGATTTGGAGATGGGGCTTTAAAGAGGGGATTAAGGTAACAACATGAGGTTACTAGGTGGGCCCTGATCCAACAGGACTGTGTCCTTATAAGAAGAGGAGGTGAGGACACAGACACACACAGAGGGATGGCCATGTGAGGACACAGGGAGCAGATGGCCATCTGCACACCCAGGAGAGAGGCCTCGGGGGGGACCAGCCCTGGGACGCCCAGATCTCGGATTCCAGCCTCCAGGACTGGGAGAGAGAAACATCTGTTGTGTCAACCGCCCCGTCTGGGGTCCTTTGTTACAGCCGCCCTAGGAACACAACACAGAAGCTTCGCTGAAGTTCAAAGACGTTGCTTAAATCTAGAAGCATATTCATTTCCGTCCTTTCGCACCTCGAACGTCCCCCAGTTTGGGACAGCCGTGTATTTCCACACTCGGTGTCACTGTGAAGTCGGGGATGAAATGCAGAACCACGAGAAGGCCCCGGGGAGGCTAGCCTGGGACCGATATTTAAGACGTGCGTGTTCTGTGTCCCCATGTGGATGGCGCCCCCTCCCCTGGTCAAGGCCTCTCAGAGATGAATTCCGTGCCGCAGCAGTGTGCTCGCCTGCTCCCGTGGCCCCGCAGGAAGCAACACGGGGTTGGAGTGGGGTGCTGGCTGTGGCCCCTGGAGAGAAGGTCTGTGGGGAGGGCACGCGTCTGCTGGAGCCCACGCGGACTGCACAGTGGGGCAGTGACCAGCGAGGCTGCTCTTCCTGACGTCTCAACGTTCTGCAATTGTCACGACACTGGAAGACAGTCTGCTCACTGAGCTACCTGTGCTGCAGGAGGGATTTGACAGTGAAACCCCCAGACGTTTCCCTGAGTTAAAGTCCATTATCTCTGTCCATCCAGCGTTGATGGGCCCCTGCCTGGTACCGGGGGCCCGGTAATTGGGATAGAAAGTTAGCGCAGAAAACAGTCACAGTTCCCAGCCTCGTGCCGTCCAGGCACGGGGGGAGGGGGGAACGTTGACCAATAGATGATGGGCGAAGAGCTTCCGTTGATTATTTAATTGCAGCTGTTTCGAGAGGGATGAAGGCTATGAAAGCAGAGACATGACAGACGAAGCGATGTTTGGCCAGATGACAGATAGGCTCGTCAGATATTTATGGAGTCTGCAGAGTGACCAAGAGGCTGTTGGAGGGACATGCGGGCAGAAAGACCGTCATGTGCAAAGGCCCTGGGGCAGAAGCGTGTGTTGACCCCGAAGGACCAGTAGGGGGCATTGTGAGAAAAGTTCAGAAACTCCAGTGAGAGATGTATTACAAGCAAGGTGGAAAGNTTAAACAGCATAGCTCATGACGACCCAAATTTCGGGGGACGCACCCTTGATGTAAATAATGTGTCTGTGTGCCCTTCCCAGGCACCGAGTGTGTATCCTTCCCAGAGCGTGGGTTTTGCTGCGTCTTTGGTTGTCGTAAGCACTTCTCTGTGGGGGTTATGGTGAGTGAGGGACAGTCTTTCAATGCAGGTGGCGGTGTCACCTGTGCAGCAGCCTACACTGGAGGTCTGTTCTGGGCGTGTCATCTCCTTGTCACCCGTCCGGCCGCTGCTCTGGGCCTGGGGCCAAAGTGACACCTTTCCCATCTCCTTGGTGTCGTTTCCTGAAGCGGGGTGAAGGGAGGGTGGGTGCAGCTATGCCAGGCACGTGGGTGTAGGTGACACCGCGTTCGGAGCCCACCCAATGCTGCTGCCCCCGGGCCCGGAAGAGAGTGATGTGTCGGGATTAGACTCTGCCCTTGTGGGCTGGTGGCCGCATAACCCCCATCTCTGTTCCATGCACACGGAATGTTTTGGGGTGCAGGCCCCAGGATTTTCTCTCACGTGACAACTTTTCCATGCCAAGGGGACTATGGAGGTTAACGGGAAGAAAAGTGTTGGGATGCAGAAATTGAAACAGCAGGTTCTGTCTGTTAGCAGACGTATGGTGAGAGCTCCCGGTTGGCTGGGGAGCTGTCACAGGCACTACAGCCCCGCCTGTGTGTCCTCCAGGTAACAGAATGGTGACGGCAGAATTGGAGAGAGTGACAGAGGATGTCTGCTGCTCCATGATTCATTGAGCCGTTGTGCATTTGTGAAAGGCTTTCAACTTGGCTTTGAGAGTTAGTTTTTATGGTGAACAGTATAGGGCTGTCTACATCTTGCATCACATTGCCACCCTTTCATCGCCATGGGACCTCCAGTTGGCAATCCTGGAATCACGCATTTGCATAGTACCCCGTGCTGCGGCCTTTTCCAAACGGAGAAGGTGGCCTTGGTGATGTTATGACACGAGTTTTCTGCTTTCTTTACGTATATGGCATCTTCCATCGCTCTTTCTGTCTGTGCCCGCTTAGGGGCTTCACACAAAACATGCAGAAAGCGGCCCGTGCCTGAAAAGAAAGGGTCGTGAGAGCCTGTGGACAAGTCGGAGGAGGGAAAGAGAGAATCTAAGAAGCTGGGTGGGTGTTCGGGGGGGTCAGCCCATCCTGGAAACACCTCCCTGATGTCCAGGACCCCAGGAGCACTGGGGCGTCTTATCTCTTTCCACACCGCGTGCTACTCTGGGTCCTGATGTGACCTGGGGTGGCCTCCGCCCAAAACATCTGCGGGATGGAGGCATGTCCCCCGCACTTGCAAATATAAAGGCGGCTCTCCCCACTTCTGGGCTCTGCAGCTGCCTTCCTCGCCACCCCAGCCATCGCCTCCTGCTCAGACAGGTAAGCATCCGTGACAAGCTGCGGTTGAGTGTGTGGTCCATGGAAGGGCCGAGGCTGTCCTGAGGTTTGCTCAAGTGAAAGCGCCAGCAGCATGTGGACGGACGTGACAAGCATGGGACATTTCGCCATGGAGACAGCTGAACCAGGGCCGGTGGAGGGCTGGCGTCCAACTCCTAGATTTTCTCCTTTCATTGTAGAACAGACCGGAGTTGGGGCGTGGGACCACGCCATCCTCGCCGACCTTACCCACCTCCCCGCTCACGCCTTTGTCCTCTGTCTCATATCCACTTGCAACATCACTTTTTATTATTTCCTGGAGTGGATTCCCACCCAGTGGAACATCAGCTCTGCGAAGGCACGGGTGTGTCCCCACGTCCTAGAACGGTGTCCGGCACATAGTAGGTGCTCAATAAGTAGTTATGAAATGAACACATGGACACGTGAGTGAATGAATCTTAGTTCAGGCTGCAGTATCAGAACACCACAGGCTGGGGGAAGGGGTGGGGCGGGGGTGTTAAACAACCAGACGTTGACTTGTCGCATTTCCGGAGGCTGGAAGTCCGAGACCAAGGTGCTGCCAGGTTCTTCTCCTGGTTGAGAACCTTCTTCCTGGCCTTTAAAAACACGAATACCAACCCACTGTGGTTAGGGCTTCAGTATGTGAATTTGGAAGAGGACACATTTCAGTCCGCAGCGTCATCTGTTATTCAGGCCACGACCTCGCTATTCCAGAGGACGAATTTCCTCTTCTTTTTCTAGCCAAAGACCTTTG